AGGCGGACGTTGCGGCGGACTGGGGATTGCAAACCTTTTAATTTACTGTCCCCGAAAAAGGCAATTTTGCAAACGCAGGGTGAGAGCCAGTGGCCTCTTTCTTACCTCAACAAGTACAGAAAACCTGAAGCAAATTTAGAGTCCACAAATAAAAGTGTGCATTTTAATCACGTAAATACCTAAACAATTAACTAGAGAATCATTGTGCTAGCCAAAGAGGTTGTGTGACACTTTCTATTCTTGCTCTTTGTAACAGTTACATAACTGTAAGAGTAAAGAGCTGCAATGCTAATGTCTATTGTGAAAATAATTATCCTTTAATAGTAAGTAAAACACTAATATAGGAAAATATTCAGCACCCAACAGGATGTTGAATTTGTAATGAAATGAAACAACTCAATTTTGAATGTCATTTATAATACATGCAATGTATTTCCAATGCCGATGTTCAAAATCATATAAATATAAAACCAAAAGCTAATATAAAATATAAAACCATTATTGGAGGATGCTGACCTACTGAAAATATAAACTTGTAGTTCTACTCTATTGGTTATTACTTTTAATAATTGTGTATAAAATGAGAAAAAATGAAAATCTTATTTTTTACACTGCCTCAAATGAAGCCGGGTATAATCACCAAATATTAATAATACTGCTTAATTTGATAAATAGAAAATGTTTTCATTACTAGAAATGAAATAGTTGTATAATAAAAAGGAAGAAATTGGCTAAGCATAAACATATTATTATTATTTGTTTTCAGGAATATAAAAACCCAGTGACTTCCCTTTAAAAGGAAATTTACTCTGAGGGCTCTTACATCATAAAATGGTACAAAACTGGGGTTACATCATAACTAAAAGTGTACAAATACATTGAGTACACAATCAAATTCCATGATCTAAATGTGTAATCTCAACATGGAAGAAATAGCAAAGATAAAATAGAAATGGGAAACTCCAATTATAACTCATAAAACACTGACTTTTATGAATATTTCAATTTCAATTGTTTGTGTATCACAAACTTTTGTTTCCAATGTTAGAAGTTTTATCCATAAAATTAGTGGTTTTCTCACGTTTTATTTTTCATATGCACATATAGAGTGATTGTTGACTATTCATCTTCTACTCTTTACCCATCCCCATATTGTTTAAAGACCAGTAACAACAGCCTTGCACATCTTGACCTATAAATGCATACAGATAGGTGATCACGCACACGACTGTTAACAGTATTATCTATTATCTATGCCAATAGTTCATAAAATCTGAGTTGAAAATAGTTCTAGATACCAACTGAGGCAGAAAGAAGTTTGTCCTCAGTTTAGCCACTGTGCGACCTTGAACATATGTTCTAAACCCATAGTTATTAACTTAGATTTTCCAGAAGAAAATATTGATATGAGCTCTACCCCGTGGGTGCAGACTTAATGTTTCTGCATTAATCACAATGACAGTATTTTTTCATATCTCCCTAGATGATTTAATGTACAATGTTGAGAATCACTGACCCAAACCCTCCAAGCCTCAGTTTACTGAACCATAAAATGGGATAATAATTATAAACAACAATAATAATAACATATACTCTATCTCAAACTTTATTAGGAGATTTAACCTAGAATATATGTGGAGCTATTGATTTCCATTATTTTATATTATTAGTATATTTATATGTAATTTTGCATACACATAAAAATATACGTATGGCAATGGCTCAAATGTTGGAAATTATTTGTATATATACCACTATATTTAAAAAAAAAGATGAACACTTCTCAGGTTTTCTTAATTATTTATGGCCATTTGGAAGTGCAATGGCCATTAGCAGAATAAATAACTTTCTGCCTCCTTCACTTCTTTTCTCTATCTTTCAACATTAGCCGAATCCTTAAATCCTGAATGTCTTATGAAATCTTTCATTCTATTCATCATGGATAACATAGGATTATATCACAAATCTAACTGTCGTGATAAAGATGCTTTTATAACCATCATTATGTCATATATATTGCATATAATATAGAATCATATATCTAATATAGTATATTAATCTGGCATAAAATTAATAAAATTAGAAAGCCAATTTCAATTTTGAAAATCAAACCAGTATTTTCTTGATGGCATCCCAAGTTCCTGCAGAACGAAGTCCCTCTAATGTCTGGAAGTGTATACGTCAATCTGCGCTCTAAGCCCTGCCACCCCAGGCCTATAGGCTAGACTGCATCAAAAATTTGAGAAGGAAAATATTTAATATCCAACTATTTTAATAGTATCTTTAGTAGCCATCCCAGTGTGGGGATAAAAGTACATCCCCACTCAAACTGTTAGGACCAACAAAATATTTTTGTGGTCTCTCAGAATTGAGGGGATTCATTTATAGCCCACAGTGAAGAAAAGATGTTGTGTAACCTGTAGAGTTGGCCTTGCTGGGTTCAATTGAGTTAACCAGACAGAAGCCAACCCGGTGACAAGAAATGACAGAGCTGCTACTGGAACCTGGGAAACAGAGGCTGCATCGCTAATGGAATCTGGCACTGACTGGACAGAACTAATTACCCCAGAGTCTGTGAGTCCAGTTATTAGTGGAATAGGATAACTAAGACCTTCAGATTTGACATTAAGGAAATAAAAAGCTCCTCCACTGTGGCTATGTGGCCATTAAGACCCTCTAATTTCCCAACATTAGCAAGCTCAGGGTAAGGAACGGGAACAAAATCGTTTGATGTAGTGCTTTATTTTTTACCTGCAATTTTTCAGACAGTGAAAGTCCAGGGCAATGACATCTCCCACAAGCTTCAGATTTCCAAAGTGAGGAAAAAGGATGAAGGCTTGTACGAGTGCAGGGTGACCGATGCCAATTACGGGGAGCTTCAGGAGCACAAGGCCCAGGCCTACCTGAAGGTCAATGCCAACAGCCACGCGCGCAGGATGCAGGCCTTCGAAGCCTCGCCCATGTGGCTGCAGGACGCGAAGCCTCGCAAGAACGCCGCCGCCGCGGCCCCCAGCAGCACGCACAGCTCCGCCGCGCAGCGAGCGCGCGCCACCTCCAGCCCGCGCGCCGCAGCCGAAATCCCCGAGCAGAGCCCACAATCAGGTATGGAAACCCATTTTGAGCCTTCCCTTTTACCGCTCACAGCTCTCCATAGAAAGGTCAAAGCGAGTAGACAGATTTATATATGCCTGTTTTAAATTAGGGACATAGTTCAGTACAATAGCTGCGGGACGTGAGGCCCGGGAGCCTGAGCTGGCTGCTCAGAGGCCCCGAGTTTGTCCCATGAGTCACTGATGGTGCTTCGTATCCAGGGCACCTAAGAGCTGGACTCTCTTTTTTCTTTCTTTCTTTCTGTATTTACACATTATAAGAACAATAAATCGTGTACTGTTGGTTACGTTATAAATGCATGTTCATTTTCTCTACAGATTTATGTATTGATGATGACCCAAATTAAGAGGCTTTCACTTAATCTAACTGTAAATGAAAGAGACAGGCCACAGTGCCCCATAGCTGTGAGCAGGACTGTGCCCCCAGGGCGGGCGGTGGGCGAGATGGTGGTTGAGTGGGGAGGAAAGGCAGCGACTGGAGCCCCAGGGCGCCGCGCCTGCGAACGCCTCCGCGCCAATCTAGAAGCTTAGTCGCGTGGTTCCGAAGGCAGCTGTGCAAGTTAAAGCTGTTCTGAATAGCATTAATCTACGCATCATTGGGCCAGTGGACGCTCACGGAAGTTTTTTTTAACCTTGGTGTGGGATAAAGGCTTCTTGCAATGAGCTGCACCCTGCACAAGCCTGCGCTGTCCTGATTTTCTCAAAAACTTGGCATAATATTAGAGGACAGAGGGAACACAAAAATATTTGGTGTATCCTTCTTTAAGTTTTTCCCGTTACATTTTATCATTAAAGAATTACTGATACTACTATGGGTAACAGAGAATTATACTGCTAATGTTTAAGGTCTCTTCAGCCATTAATTAAAAAAATTTGATCCCTTCATCAGGATGATTTCTGAGATCCCCTCTCATACATACATATGTGCGCGCGCGTGTGTGTAGATATATATATATCAGAAATTATCCTGACCAAATACATATATATTTGATATATATATCAAGGATGAAATATGTGTATCTATAAAGATAAAGCCCTGGCTTGTGAACAATGCTTTTACAATCGTGCATGCCAACATGGGTTTTCTGCTAATGCTTTACATCCTAATGAGTGTGATTTGTAGATGCGCAGGGCCCTAGGCTTAGGGTCTCTGTGAGTTTGCACTGCTTTTGGATGCAGATGTGCGACTATCCCAGCACGCCTTGTTCACAGCAGTTTGTGTCAGTCTGAAGCATAGATGGCTTAGCCTCTCTTTTATAATCTCCTTTGTTTCCCAAATTAAAATGCAAAACCAATGTAGCTAGAATATGTGCACATCTGTGTGTTACACGCACACAAATGCCCACGTACATATATACCTTACTGACAATTTCGTAACCATTCTTTCACAAAGGTTTGATGTCTTTGGAGGTATTGTCCCTCTTCCTTCACACTATCAAAAGAATAATCTAGGCACTGCATGTAAAATTACAGAGTAACCTCAGCAGGCAATTTACAACCTAATTAGTGAGAACTCCAGATCATAGATGAAATTATTAGCCTACATAGACTATTCCAAGTTAGATATCATAAATCTGTTCTGTGGAATAAAATCAAACAGATTACCTATTCCAAATGAAGGATTCTAAGCTTTGAAATGTTTTATCTATTTCTGGAATATTTTCATTACTTTTGGGGTTAAATAACACACTCCCAAATATCTCTATTTTATTTTAATATCTCTTAGCACTATGATTGGAGATAAGTGGGAAACTCTAGATATCTTATAAAAATTTACAAATAAAAATGACTGCTCATTTTCCATCTCATCACCAGCCTTGCTCTTAGATACAAAATTACTTTTTCTAGAGTTAAAGGTGAAAGGAGACAGGAAATGCTGACTCATGAAAGCCAATATTCACTAAAAGCCCTTTTCACTAGAATTATCTGCATATAGCAAAGATTAATCTGAAATATCTCAAAATATTTAATTTCTATCTTTTCAACCAGTGAATTCTGGAAAATATTTTATATACTTTTACGGACATTTTCTAACTTCTATTCCAGAGGCTGAGGCAGCCTAGCTACCCATTCTATTTACGTGTAAGTTCCTATACTTGCACAGTGACTGGGTGTAATACAGTATCTGGGGTGGATATTCATATATTATATTCACTGTATTGCCTACATTCTGATAATTTTGCTTTACAATTTTCAGATTATATTCAAATAAAGCTTATTTCAATACCCATGCTTCATCTATTCATTCATTCATTCACCTTCCATCCCTTCACAGAACTCACATGCCAGACACAGGAACACAAAATCGGGAGAAACACTTCCTTCCCTCTCTTTTTAGTTTGTGAGAAAACAAAATATTTATAAATTCCATTTATCATGTATCTTTCTTTTGTCATTCTTAAAGGCAACACATGGTGAAGGCACACAAATTAAAATCTTGTTTTTACAGAGCAAGAGCTCTATTGTACCAGCCTTTTGTCATTTATCATTTGATACAAAGAGGCATGCTTTATCCATGGTATATATGACAACACAGTAACCCTGTCCCAAAAGCTGGTCTGTTTGTGCTTTTATTTTCATCACAATCTTTGACTTAGTTGACTGAATTATTTAGTCTGAAACACTCAACCCTTAATTTGTACTATTTTTGTGTCAAAGAATTTCTGTCTCTATGAAGGAAAACATTAGTTGAAAATAACTTTATGTAAAATCTTCAAATTGTCACACAATTAACTTAGCCAGTTTTCCTAAAGCAAAAATTTACATGAAAAAATAAGATAGAAGAGATAGTCTATTTACCACAGATAAAGTAGAGTTTAACTATGATTTACGATATTTTACCAGCTATTTTTCCAAAAGTTGTTACCGCCCAACCAGGTTCCTTTGCCTGCTGCGCAAGAAGCCAATATGCTCAGTCAGCAGGTTTTAGAAGGCAAACAAAAAGTCTTTGTTTCCCATAGCACTAAGTGGGGAGGCAGGAGAAATTTCTCAAATCCACCTCCCCAGGAATTTGGGAGACAGAGTTTTTAAGGACAGTTTGGTAGGCAAGGGATTAGGCAATTAGGTTTGTTAATTAGGGCAAAATTATAGGGGTGTAGGAATCATCTTCTTGTGTTGTTTCAGTCCCTGGGGTCACAGTTCCAGTTGAGTCGGTTTCTTGGTGTGGGCTGCTGGTCCGTTGGGTGGGCCAATCCATCCATTGGAATGCGGAGCCTGGAAGATACCTTAAGAGCTACCTTTAGGCTCCGAAAAGGTGATGTTATCTATGGAGAAAGTTAAGAATCTTTATGGACACAGCTATGGGGAGAAGTTCAGAATCTTTATGACCACCAGCTGTGTGGCTCCAGGTGGCAATTGCAGGGGGACTGCGACTAATTATAGTCGATATTTTCAGCTAGGCCCTCACCACAGTTCTCACCTTGCACCCGTCATTGAAGGGCGGTTTCAAAATTAGTGAGTGTGTGACTGTCCCCTCCTGCTTGAAATAAATTCAAATTTTTAACATTAAAATTATTTTAATTCTACCTCCGCTTTGTAATTAGCAGTTAAACGTAAAGTAATAAAGCAAAATGCTTAAGCACATAATTAAAGTTGGCTTTTGCAACCCCTTCAGAGATTCTCATCTCCAACTTTGTGAACGCCTCCAGTTCTGTGTGCCTTTCCGACATTGCTCACGTCCTGCACACCCTAAGCACAAGAAGCTCAGAGAGAGAGAGAAAATCCAATAAATACAATGTATGGGGGAAGCAGTACCTGGATTAAAAGTTGAAGAAATGTGCTGCGGATGTTCTGCAAAGGGAGTTCCTGAGTCTAGCTGCTGGTCAGGGAGGGGCCCTGGAGGGAGGGCCGGGAGTGACAGGGAGAGTTGCATGCAGACGTAGCTCGCAGAGTCCTTTCAGAGAGGAGAGTGGCACTGGGTGTGAGAAATCACGGGATCCCCACAGGAGGAGGCGGTGTGGCTCCCTTTTCCCAGAGAGCACCGGCGTCCACCGTGGCCCCACTGTCCCGATATGCTAAACCTGCCCCACCCGGCATCTCCGGTCCTTGCAGAAGCCAAACATCTCCCCATGGAGCAGCTCTACTAGCCCTTCCTTTGCTCTCTGTCTTCATTCTTCTCTGCTGATTCCTCCTCCCCACCCTTACAGACAGACAGGCAGACAAGACTGTGGACAGCACTGCTGCCCACTCCGTGGGGCTCCTCTCTGGAGGTCACCTGCCTGCTGGCACCTGCCTCCCAGAGGGCCCTGCGTGCCGGCTCCTCCTCCCCCACCATGTCTTTCTCTGCTGTCTCTCGATCATTCCCACTCCAAGTGCTCTCTTGCAAGCCGTGGGTGCCTCCTCTTCCTGTTCCCACACCCCCCTTGTGTCTCCTCCTCCCCAGCTCCTGGGAAGCCTTTGTCCTCTGGCCACCCTTTCTTGACAGTCTTCCCTTTCTTCTAGCAGCCTGGGTCCCTGCTCACTGGCTCTGAGCACTCCCCTCTCGTTTGTTGGCTTCCCCACCTAAATTCCTCTCTCAAATTTAGTTCTTTTCCCATTCCTCACTCCCTGGTCTTCTCATCCATTTCCACGGTTTTGAATGCTAACTTTTCCTTAGAAAAATTTCCCATCCGCCTATTTCTGTAGATCCAGACTAGCGTTCACTGTTGTCCCCAAAACACCTCCATATACAGATCCTACGAGAACTGTGGAGGATTAAGGATGGCTGCACACTTGGCCACACTCCACCCAGTAAGAGCCTATGTCCCTTCCCCTGGAGCCGGGGCTGGCCTGTGAGCACTTTGACCAATAACGTATGAAGAATTGATGCTGTGTCCATTCCAGACATAGCCTTTCAAGGTGGCCTCTGTGCCGACCTTTTAAAAGCCAGCTACTCTACAAGATACACATCGACCTCAGACCACCTTACAGAGGGAAGCCCCAGCCAAGGCCCTGAATGTGAGTAAGGAAGCTGCCTGGGCCCCCAGCCCACCCAGCCTGCATCTCACCAAGCTC